GAGAGAGAGAGAGAGAGAGAGAGAGAGAGAGAGAGAGAGAGAGAGAGAGAGAGAGACCCATGATGCATTAACTCTAGACGCCTGACTTTCCCACTCCAGCGGCCTCTTCACACCTGGTGATAGGGAGACGACAGATTGTTGACGAGTAGAGGAAACAGCTTGTCGGCGGTGTCCTCTCCGAGGAAGGCCTCCTCTCCGCACGCGTCCGCCAGCGTGAAGAACAAGTCCGCCACACGCAGCGCAGCCAGGTTCTCAGCGTCCTTCCTGCAAGACACACGCGAAACACTCGCGATAAAGCTCTGCTTATCGACTCAATAATAATAATAATCGACTCTGCTATAAGCTTTCTCCTTCGCGCGAAAACGTGACCGTCGCCGTCGTTTTACGAAAAATTGTTGAGCCGCCGGCTCCTCCCACCCACAATGTTGGATACGTGGAGCATAATGGAGGAATTACTTTCAAGGTCAACCCCACATTCGAAAGATATTCGATCATTTCCCTCATCGAAGTTCTGACAGATTTGCATCGATCCAGATGCGGTTGGCCATTAAACTCAGAAATAATTATTTTTACCGCGGTTGAAATTATGTCCCATTTAACCAATCAGAGATCGTGTTACACATAATTCAACCGCGGATAAATTATCTCAACCATGGTAGAAATAATTGAATAGTGGTTAAATTATTGCCCTTTCACCCAATCAAGAGGCCTTGTAACACATAATTAAACCACAGTTGAAATATTTTTACCGAGGTTAAATCATGAGTAACAAGGACTCTGATTGGGTAAAGCGGCCATAATAATAAAAATAATTATTACTAAGTACGATGGCCAACCATAGACAATGCAGCTTGGCTGGCAGTAACCCCCCTCCCACTCCCCGTCATGACGTCACGTACTTGAGTAGAGATAGGACTGTGTCAAGCGTGATGGCGCTGGCCGCATCGCGATGTTCCAGCAGCTGTGACAGCACCACGTAGGCCTGGGCGAGCACAGCGACCTCACGATCGATCAGGTCGCGCGTGAGCAGCGCGGCGATGAAACGTCGCACCTCTGCCACGACTCGTTCGCTGTCCATATACCTGAAAGAGAGCAACAGTCGTAGCACGCAGCCATTTGGCTGTGACTTTCATTGCAGTTATCAGCTCTCCATACAGTTGCTGCAGCCGTGGCTCGAGGTAGAGCGAGCGTGGGTCGCAGAAGCGCGCAAACACCGCCAGGTGCACGGTCAGCGACTTGGACGCGGCGCGACGCAGCTTCCGGCCGCGTTGACCCTCCAGCCGGTCGAGTTCCGCCTCCGGGTGTCCGGCGTCTGCGTCGGCGGCATTGGTGACACCAGGGGGCGCCGTCGTCTCGTCCGTAGCATCGGTGACACCAGGCGCCGCCACCGTCTCGTCCGTGTCGGTGGCTGTGGATGAGACGTCCTGGGTGGGCGATATGGTGTAGTCCGCAGGGTAGAATTCATTCCTGAAAGCACGTTGTTTCGAAAACTTTGGGATGCGTGTACAGAAAAAACATTTCATGTTCATATTTGATTACTTTTAGATCGTAAAACCAATCACCTTTTGCAAATTAAAAACCCCAATCACCAATTAAAATATCAATCATCAATTGAATTACCAATGTATTCGATTATTCATGGAACACGGACATATGCAATATCACACAAACATAAACATCACCAGTGCAGCATTCCTAAGACCTTCTTATTCACTTAACCTACTACTATTTCTTAACCGCTAACTGTATCAACTGTGTTAACTCTGCTTTCTCCTATTAAAATAGCATGGCAATTTAACTCACTCCATGAACTGCAGCAGCAGGGGAGACAGTGCAGCATTCCTAAGACCTTCTTATTCACTTAACCTACTACTATTTCCTAACTATCAACTGTGTTAACTCACTCTGCATTCTCCTATTAAAATAACATGGGAATTTAACTTACTCCATAAACTGCAGCAGCAGGGGCGACAGATCTCGCGCGCGGCCCTCGACCCGCACTGCGAACCCTTGCATCGCTCTCCACAGCAGAAAGCGGTGGTTGGCATGATCGGGCCTGTCAGACAGGCTGGCTGCCTCGTCACACTGCATGCCAAATAATGCCTCCACGCCGGTTGCTTGCACTGTTTCTTGCTTCCGTATCCCCGGCTTGGTACTGCCTTTGTTGAGCTCTTGTTCTGAGCGAACACACAAGCAGGCACACATGATTCTGTCATAAGATCTACGACTGTCTCGAATAAAGTCTTTCTCATATAATAACTTCTAAAATCTTATAGCTTATGCCAAGGCATCGCAGCCAGTAAAGGCGTCTAACTGCAAATGAAACGACATCCGATCCAATATCTAAACGCAGTCATTCAGCTCCAGATATCCCACTCGTATGATTAAACCTATGATAGAGGCGACATCTATATAATGTGTGTTGTTGTCAACTGTCGACAAGAGACACTTTTGGAGTCTCTCTGGAGAGACAGTTATACAGTAAAACCACTTCCACAGAACAGACACTTATCGAAAATGAACACTTTTGGCATTTTTTCTAGTGACCCTTGCATACAGATATTAATCAAGGGTTAATAATGACAAATTTTGTCCTTATTAACCCCTGATATGAATGTATATATCACACGTTGTACGCTAGCTCGTGTGTTGTACCTGCAAGGTCAGCAGTGGTTTTCAA